AGCCGAATTGTTGGGGTTATAAAATGTTTCTTTTAGCTGGTAGCGAAGGTGGTATATGCTATCACTTTATTTTCTACACAGGTAAAAATAATAAACAGAAGTATGGATTCTGTACAGATGTTGTATTGAATCTTTATGAAACTGTGCCACGTTTTATCAATCACAAAGTGTATTTTGACAATTATTTTACAACAATTCGTTTATAGGTAGAGTTGAGAAAGTTCGGCATTTTTACAGTTGGTACAGTAAGATCCAATCGATTATTTGATTTAAACATCAAAAATGCAAAAGATTTATCAAAGGAAGGTAGGGATGCAATGTATCATCGTGTCACGAAAGTTGAAGGAGTATAATTATGCATGACACGATGGTATGATAATAATGCTGTTGATTGTCTTTCTACATTGTACGGTTGTGAACCGATTGATTCAGTACAACGATGGTCATCAAAACAAAAGAAACATATTCTCATAGAATGACCAAAGGACATACAGGCATATAATGAACATATGAAAGGAGTCGGTTTAATCGACATGTTGATTTCTTTGTATCGAATAAATGTTAGTTATAAAAAATATTATATAAAAATCATCTTTCATCTTATTGATTTGTCAGCTGTCAATGCATGGTTATTATACCAACGCCACTGTTTAAAAATAAAGCTTCAAAAAAAGAATATAATGTCTTTATTGACTTTTCGCATAAATATTACTACTGTTTTACTTAAATCCAGTCCATCACCACCTATCATAAAATGTGGTCGACCATCATTAGAATCAAAATTAAATGAAAATAATTCAATAACAACTTTACGAGTTACACCAACTTCAGCTCCACCTTCAAGTACACGATTCGACAAATATGATTATTGACCTACAACAACATCAAAAGGACGTTGTCGAAATAATGCCTGTTATGGTTATACAAGAATATCATATTCCAAATGTAATGTTCGTTTATGCTTGAACAAAAAAACTAACTGTTTTGCTAATTATCATAATTAATGTGTCTTTTCTGAAATGATGCTTATTCTACTTTTTTGTTTTATTATTTGTTTGTCTCGTTTCTCTGCGCATAACTGAACTTTTTTGTGATCGTAATTACTTTATTAATAAACGAAAAAGCACTAAATAGTGAATTGTGAGTTCGGAAAACGAACAAAAAATTTCAAATTTTTTTGTCTTTTTTCGGCCAGCTGTTGCCAAATGGCAACATGGAGCCACAAGGTACTGAATAAGTTTTTTTTTCGAAAAATTTATTTTTCTGAAAAAGTTAATATGTTAAGTAAGACAAAAGACTGTTTAAAAATAGCATAGTTTATTGCTATTTCATTTAGTTCATGAATCATCAACGAATACACTTCTCCATAGTCCTCGTACGAGCACTCATGTACATTGGTTGAGAA